CACGGAATTAGCGAGCATAATGTACCGCTTATATTTATAAGAAGTCTTTACGGTTAATTTCGAAAGTTATTAAATTAACGGTGTATATAGAATAGAATTCAATGTGTGCATGTGTACGTGTGTTCGTGTTAATCCGTACTTCGATACAGATACATTTACATAGAGATATTAAGATTAAAACGTGCGTAAAATAAAAAAGAGAATCGGGAAGATTAATCGAACAGAAAATAATGAAAACAAAAAACAAATAGTTCGTATTCGGCAAACAATCGTTTTGGAAGGTAATCGATTAAATTAAATCGGCGACAAATCGAATGTATTACGTTTTCGGACCTGGCCGAAGAGAATAAGCCATGGGCCCGAAAACCCTGAGGCCAGCCTGGACGCAGTGAATGGCTTGGTGGCTAAATGTATGCGCTATGGGATCAAAACGTAATAAAAATCTGCCGAAAAAATGTCAATCGATAAATCAGGTATGACACGGCGGCGAACCGCAGCACGGATCGTCGTGCGACGTCGATGCCAATGCCACGCGATGATGCCCCTTCTCCCTGTCCCTCGTTATACACATGCATGTATATATTTTATATTAGCTATACGAAAAGAAATTTTTGCTGGAATATCCAAACATTTACTTATACTAAATAAATATTTACAATGAAAAAATAATTGTCAAATCAAATTGGTTCTTGTACCAAATGATAAATATATAATCTTTATATTTAGTAAATATTTGCTCGATGCTATTTAAACAAATGATTTATTAAAATTTAATATATCTTTTCAGTGTAGATAAAAAGATCTACTAAAGAAATTAATTATGTAGAACACTCAAATTAGTTGTTAGAATATTAAATATTTTTTGCAACATTTTTAATCATACTTACGTCCTACATGATTATTTTTATAGTGTCCAACATATATTCAGATCTACGTGTATCAAGTCTAATTTTTAGATATTTCAACGAAACTATTCTTTCTATGCAAATTTATATATACTATATACACGCATCACATGTATATAAAATTTATAGAATAGACATACTGAATTTTAAAAGCGAATTTTATTATCGAGCAAAGAGAGAAACGTAACGAGAGATCTCCGAGTCTTCCGGGATCGCATCAGAGGCACATCTGACGTACAGTATCGCGATCTGTTAGATCGTTCGTTTAATGAATCGAAGGCGGTAAAATGTTCGAACTTCAAAGAAAGAGGCGCACAGTCAACGAAAATTATTCGAATCTTGGCGGAGAAGAAATAGGAAGGGAAAAATGAGGAAGACGAGAGGCGGCCCCACTCGATACGGCCCTGTAAAGATCACCCAGAGCATCTTACCGGCACGACATTCCGCCACGTAGTCAGCTGCAAGGGATACCTTAAGCGCAAGTACGGCAATCTTACCGGGGACCGGATGCCGCGTCCCGGAGCGCGCGGGGAGGCCCGGACGAGTCGCGGGAAGTACCATTCCCGCGCGATAAGGAGACCGCGGCAGCCACGCGGCGGTGTGTCGTGTTCTCTTTTTCTGTTTCAGCAAAATTTTTACAGATAAATCTCCGGTGGATGAAGGGAAACGACGGAGGATTACGCCCGTCCGAAATCCAGACCGCGGGCGATAAAAAGTGTTATTTACAGCTCCTCGGTACGCCGGCGCGGCCACCATCGATAATTTCCACCGGCCGTTCCTACGCGCCGCTCCCGCAAGCGATCGGAATAATAATACGCGATAATAATAGTGGGATTAACCGACGTCGCGAATATTCCTGTCAAAAATTTTCGAAACTTCGCTTCCAAGATATCTGAACCAGTTTCTGCCAATTTACATCTGCCAATTCTTGCAAATGTGCATATTATAGAAATATAGTGGGACTCGAGCATACTATTCTTAACGGATTAAGATCAAGCAATCTTTTTATTCTTAACACTTCCTCGTCAATCCTGTTCTAATCTTACTATAATCGTACGAATGAAAATTAATCAAAACGTATACGTGATCAAGTAACAAATTTATTTGAGATGCGAGAGCGCATGTAAGTAAAGATGCTAAAAATACGGAAGTTAAAAATGCTAAGAAGATCTAATTATACTCCGATATTATAATGTAATGTAGGCTCGAGGCATGTCTGATCTTTTACGATGAGCCTTTTTCAACGTCCGTTGAATTTTTCAGAAAATTTATTATTAAAACTTTAATGCAATCAGAATTTTTCGAATATCGACTCAATTTTGATTGAAGGAAGAAAATACTGGACTTGTACCGACGATCTTTTAAAGTTCGTTGCCTGCAGATAAAGACCATTATTTATAATTTAATGATAATCTTTGATCAAAAATTCTTTGCCGATCATGGCTGAGCTCTCTTCCCTGTTTTTTTTCTCCTTTTTCATTTCATGCTTGCTCCCTCTTCATTCAAAACGATAACAAGCATTTGAGTAATGACATATCGGCAAACTTGATTATAACATGGGTTAGTATTTTAATATTTTAGTGAAATTGTCTTACATAATAAACTATCGTTACTTTAAATTAATCAAAATAAAATTTTTATACTTTAGATTCTTATAAACTACAAAAATTTTTTATTAATATAAAAATTATAATAAATTTTTTCTCTTTTCTTAGAATATTATGACAAAAATTACGTTATTTTTATTCAAATATTATGTACCTTTTGTATTTTATGAAGGCATTATTGTATAATTCTTTCAATACTTTAATGTACACAATAATTTAAAACAATCAAATGCCACTAAAATTTTACAACCTGAATAGTTGTTTTTATACAAGTTGTCAAAAATTCTTATAATAAAAATTACGATATCAGTGTATTATAACTTTGTAGACGTAAGAACAAAATTGACTGCGTAACAAGTTCTGTAAATATATGCACGATTTAACCGGTGAGATACGTGGGATACAATTTCATATTATGTCCACCGTGAAAAATCACGGGATCACAAGGTTCGCTACCGTTAGCGAAATAATAATGAGAGATAAGACAACGGTCTTGATCTAGCATCATTATTAATAAGGGCGCGCGCTGTCTAATAAGTAGCATTACGTTGCTCCACCTAACATGCAAACAGTGGAATTATGTAGAACTGTTGCTTCGTAAAATTATTATACTAACAAAATGATGAATGTGCTGGCCTACCATTTTGTTGTTCGTAACACAAATTATATCTCGTAAACAAATAAATATATTTCTAATGTAAATATACGATAATGATGTTTTTCAATATAAGACACATATACTAGTGTAATATTTCTGCATACGAAATTACGCGTATTTATGTGTATTTTTTCATATCTTTATTGTCTATTTTACTATTTTGTCTCTTTTTCTTTTTTTTGTTGTTTCGTATCATTAGTATTGTTTATGTATTGTTTATTACCACTCTAAAAATATACATGGAAAGAACGATTGCTGAAGTACTTAAAAATGTAAGTATTATAGATCTGAAAATAATTTTGTTGGTATCAAAATAATTATGCAAGAAACTTGAGCATAATGAGCAATGCTGTAAAAAGTTTTGACATTCTATCTTCATGCAATCAACTTTAGCGTCCTATTTAATTATTTGGATAGTCCAACAAAATTATTTTCAAATCTGTATCTAGCTAGATTTTTAAATACTTCATCAAAACCGTTCTTTCATATGTTTTACTTTTTGTATTATCATATTGTTATTCTGTTCATATTAATAAATAAATAAACACAATATATATAAATATATGTATAAGAGAAGAGAATATTTGATTTATTACAATCTATATAAAAATATGCTTGTAACATATTGAAATCTCTCGATGCAGCGCTCGAGATCTATGCGAGCATTGAAATCTCCTTGACAGAGCATCATTATTCAAAAGTTATACAGTGTATTCTTTTTACGATTTTTCACTACATATTTTTGTAGAAGGAAGCATTATAGTAAAATTGGATTTTATGAGTATGTTCGAATCATTCATACTTTTCAAGATAACAAAAAATGTTATTTGTATCATTGCCCCGTTCAACGGTTGTTTAGTTACGAAAACGTGGTAGTTTTCGTGCAAAGATAGTGCAGATTTAAAATGTAAAGCACCGTAACCGTGGGAATACATAAAGTCAGCGTGGGGAATTCGTCGGGATGGTGTGTAAGCCGAATATATATACTTGCGACGCGCGACGTGAGAGACTTGGTCGAACGGGAAGAACGAAGATGAGGAACGGCAGTACCTCAAGATCTCAGATTGTCAGTTGGTGGTCAGCCGTCACGTAGGAAGGACGTGGTGGTGTCCCGCTTGCTTCGCCGCGCTTCACCTTGCCGCGCTTCACCTCTTCTCACTTCGGATCGTCTCGGAAGAAGCATCGCCTACATGGACGCTTCGTGTACGTGCTCTCCTCGAGAAATCAACAAACGCGATATGATTTATATCGGATTGACTACCGGTGCGAGTCAATAATTTGTTCATCTAAGTAAAATATTATATTTTTTTTTCGACAGCTGATAATAGTTCATTATGAACTACCTCAGTACATTGACCGGACAATAGTAATTAGCAGATGAACGTAATCAATTGAGTAACACAAGTATTTTCCGACTTAGAGAATATATTCCAAGTTACTCCGCATTGGCTTAACGGTATCTACCCGGACATCGAAAAGTGCATTCCCCTGCAACTTTGAGGAATACCGCACATGCAATTACTTTTTTTGATCCCGCACGTTGACCCATCAAAAACGTTAATTATTGTCTGCGACCGAACCTGCAAAAGAATTCCTTAAACGAAATCTGACTTTATTAGCGAATCTAATAGCAGTTATAGAGACACAGCAGCATCTCTTTTTTACAATGAGAATGCGAAGAATGCTTTGACACGATCAGCCTCCATGCAATTATCGTCATGGTGCACCATCGTCGTGGAATGTCATAAAAGCTAAACTCCGAATCTCGTGGGAAACAACGTACATCATAAATATAATTCGAAAGAAAGTAAAAATTCAAAAATCCAGACGATGACTTCCATGTGTGGCAGCGGAAAGAGTCACGCCGTGATGAATTCTAGCAGTTATTACAGGCCTAGTCCTTTTGCTTATCAAGTAAGTTTTCTTATACATTTATATTCTAAAAATAGAGCAAAACCATTTAATTTGAAACTTGACTTAAATCAGATAACTGATCTATTTTTTTTGTATTCCTAAGAAACATTCAATTGTTGTTCTTTATAAGATTTTCTTATAAATATAATCTTGACAAGTATAGTTACGTATATAATAAGAACATCTATTCAATAATGAGAGTGAGATTGTAACAAAAAAAAAACCGCTTTCCTGTTTCGTCGAGTCTACCTTTTTGCTGTAAAATGCTTTACAAGTTAAGTTGACAACATCAAAACACGTTTCTTCAACAAGTCATTTTCGATTTATGTCGAAGAAAAAGGGAATCTTGATGATTATAATATATTGAGTGTATTCCGACTCAATAAAATTTTATTATCACCTTTATAAGATATCCTTTAAATATATTAATTGAATTAGCAAAAGTTATCGATATTTCAACTTCGAAACGATTATCGTTCTTTGTGTCGGTAGTGATTCTACCAGCTTATACGAGTTGTAAAAAAAATGAAAGTTAACTCAGCAAACTGAGACGCCTATAAAAATGTATACGAGTTTCATTGAAGAATAAAACCGTAATCAGACAGACAGGATACACGTTTTTTTTACATATTTATTTCTAATAATACAATCGTTCACTTTTTGAACGAAACACATTGTTCTCTCTGTGAATTTAAACACATTGTTTGCTTACTCTCTTAAACTTTTAGACTGGTATTCGTAGTCGATTTTTATATTTAAGACTGTCTTAAGTACAGTTTTGAGATGTCATGAACCATTCAAAGAGCCGTATTAGCATCTTAAGACGTTACTTAAAACGGTCTTAAAATAAGAACGGATTATACAGTGAATTGTCACTCTAAAGAGTAAAATCTCACTCTTAAAGACTGAGATTCGAGCCATTCTTTTTCAAGACTGACTCAATTTTTATTCTTTAAAATGAAATTCCACTCCAAAGAATTTAGAGAGTATAAAATAAAATATATAATAAGATGATTATATAAATGTAGCATTAAATTTTGTAACTTCCGGTCTAAGATACAAAATCTATATGATAAAATTAATTTGTAAAAATCAAGAAAATTGCCATTTAATGAAGCTTAATACATATTAAGAATGATTTTCATATGTGTGAACATTTTTCTAACAAATGGATAGGAAGGAGTAAGTTAATTCCTTTATAATTCCTTTATAATTTATATATATATATATATAGACTTTACATCATGGAAACCTTAACCTTGCCTTGCACGAAAGCATTATATAATTTTATTCAGAGACACGGTCATGTCTCACGTTCACGCGCAATGGCGAGATAGACCGTGTATCTTTACGCGAGACAGCAAACTTCAATTATGGTATCCAATAAGGGGGGATATTCCTCGCACTTACATTTATCCTTGCTCCCTACCTGTTTTTGTTGTCTTTCCTTTTGTATCTTCTTTTTATTCACTTAATAGGAAGTTGAAATTTTTTAATCGTTATCAAGAAAAATACACCTGTGAGCTCTTTTTTGTATCTCTCAACAAGTCAGTATATCGTTACATTTATCGTTGCTCAGTTTCTTTCGGTAAAGAAGCTATGCAACAATAAATATAACGATATACCGACTGAAATAAGAACACACGACAACATGAGCAAATGTATATATAATTATATTTTTACACACGTATACAACTGTTTTAATAAGCACTGAATCTATCAATCCCTAATTTCGTGAAACTAATAATCCATTCTATTTTTATATATTTGAAACGTTTCCTTGTAATATTAAATAAAAAATATTTAGATTTTTCGACGAGTTTTAATTTCATTTACTTATCTTACGAATTATTAGACACATACACATGCAGAAATTTTTTGTCTTAATAAGTTTTTTCAAATTTCACGAAACTAGTAATTCATTCTATTTTTATACATTTGAGATGTTTCCTTGTAATATTAAATGAAAAATACTTAAATCTCTCTTGACGACTTCATTTACTTATCTTACGATCTTTCGAATTATTAGAAACATACACATATAGGTATTATTTCCGTTTTAACAAGTTTTTTCTTTTTATGCCAAAACCCATATCCCACACCGGCGTGGCGCCGTTCGCTTAATTGGCTGTTTAAACCCGATCGTCCGACACGTTCGCAACCCGTACACAATGGTACCGTTATCAAGTCAACGACTGTGAGCGATAATTGCGACGATAGCGATGCACTTTACTCGCGGTAAATTGTATTACGTGCGATAACCATCCCTGATGAGATGCACCCTCGCAGCCGAGAAAACTGGAATATGAACTCAAATCGTGTGGCGAGTAACGTTCAACGTATTATCAGAAAAAACGGATCTCTCATGTATTGATTGTACGCATGCACGCAACGTTTGCGCTTACGCTAACGATTATGGATAATATTTGAATCGTTTATCGCGCGCACGTTTAGACTGCCCCGGAACGTCGGCCGAATGATAATTAAGTCTCTTCGTTAATGAGCCGTGAGGTGAACTACGATGAAATATATCTATAAGGAATTACGTGTCCAGGCACGCCTTTATCTATCCTCAGAATTACTATAATAGCTGACAGTTAGGTTCAACGTACCTAGAATATGAATGTATGACGGTATGTAAAAAGTGTCCTATCATAAAGAGAAAATAATTTAATAGCAATCTCAATCTTGTGATGAATTGAGCGTTGACAAATCTTGACGGTTGAAAACTTTAAATTCGCAGTAATATTATGGAAGTGTTTTTAACTGATTCTTGAAGAGGATGGAGAATCAATCTTGATTTTATGTCATTATGTAATAGCTTCGAAGATCCGTATAATAAGTAACTTAACCTTGGAAGTATGGAATACGGTGGACAATGATTTATCTATCACTTTTCTAATCGAATTATGTAAGTGATTGTAATCTCTAGTATAGGCGGAAAAATTTTTACTTATATGAAATCTCGCGGAAGTATCGCGAAAATATCCATATAATGGAACAAATTATAACTGTATTCTCAGTATTCTCTCTTTGTCTCTTTCTTTCTCTGTGTATTCTTGAGAACTTGACTTGGTAAATTTAAACGCGGGAACAACATTGCCAGTAACGTTTATGAAATACTAATGAGCGATTATATAAAATAATCCAATGATATGTATCACAAAACAAATGGAGGAAGTTCCCATGTAGCGAGTACTTCTGCTTTAGATATCATCGTATTTCCTCGAGCAAAGCTCGCGTGAAGCTTAAGCTTTCGGTGTGAGGAAATTCTCGCGTGAAATACGAATTAAAAACACGGCGATTCAACTCGTTGTCTATTGTATTGTTGAGATATGTTTGCATATCGTAAGGATCGTGTGAGAACATAATCGCAAGGATGATGTTACTGACAATAAATCTTTCCAACTGATTTGTCGACGCCTACATATTCGATCGATTCCTGTTACGAGGATCTCTCCGAGTCGATTTAAGATAATACAAAGTATCTGCGGAATGTTCTGCACTTCTTGTGCGATATGTAATCGACACATTTTTTAAATACTCAAGTATATCAATCGTGATTATTTGTGAATGAAATTATACTTTGGCTTGTATCGTCTGGCACAGATAACGTAATGCGGCTTCGCAAGGCCCGGCCCTGGACAGACGTTACGATCTGTGTGTACCAGTTCCAGGTATACACACGTTCCTAGGGACCCTTATTAAACCAGACAAGGACGAGAGTTGCGGGAGCGTCCTTGAAGGATCTTTGCACTCGGTAAAGTTGCTCATACTCGCATCTTCTCGCGTTTTCTTCGTACTGCCCCTACGAAGGCCGCGCATTGACTTCGTCCAGGTCATGGTACGCACACGAACAATTGCGTACACCGGCACCTTCCTCAAACATATTATTTGCGGACCGAGGTCAAATTTCTTAACCGTCTTCAAATATTAACCCTCGTGTTTTGCGCTATACTATTAGCAGAAATTTTCGCAATGTGTTCCTATCTTCTCCATAGTAATATCCGTGAGCCTTGTTTTTATCATTCTCCATCATTCTTTAATTAAACTGAATCCTTGACGAATGGTTGACAATTAGCAGCTTGAGTGTCATTTGCAATGTTATTTATATAGTTATAAAGTTTTCATAAGGCGGCGGAGGTAACAGCCTTTTCAGGAATCGCATAGCTGTTACCACGCTTTGTGATCCACATAGTTGGATATGCTCGGCAACACTACTTAAGTGCCGCCGAGGATTATTCTTACGGCCTGCATCTTTGAAGAATATGAGAGGAAATGGTAAAAAAGATAAAAAGATACACTAAAAAGATAAAAGATACACTGAAAAGATAAAAAAACATACTAAAAAAGATGAAAGGATACATTAAAAAGAATATCCCAAATATAATTTGGGCTAACAGTTTTCTCTCTGATATTTGAATTTGAGATTGCTTTTTTCATATATTTGAAAAATTAAGAGAAATATTTACAAGCATGTACAAATATTTTTTTACAAGCATTAATTAAAAAAAGAAACAAGAAACTTGAAATAATTACAATATATAATATTTTTTCTCGTTTGTGATAGTACCTTCTGAAAGAAAGTGATCGTTGATCAAATAATGAAATGATAATAGAATCAATATGACTTTGAGGTAAGATTGTATACTGTTAGCAAAATGACATGTCATCATACATTAATTTGCCTATGTTTTCATGGATCATCAACTTCAGTACAATACCTTGAAAATTAAATACAAATTACTAAGTAAATTTATTTCTGTAAATTTACAACTTTCATAGAATATTAATTAAAAAATAAATAAATTATGCACTGTAAATCTTTTATGAGTGTAATTGCAACATCATAAGAAAAATATAAATAAGTAGCATGCAATAAATTAAAACTATCGCGCTTCATATTATCTACGCTACCGTGGATTGATAACATCATCATCACGATAATAACGACAAATCTGAAATAATTGCAAATCAGTTTAACGCTTATTTTACAAACATATTTAATTCAATAAAGTAAACATAAGCATGATATTTTTAAGATTGTTTCATAAAATATCATTAATTTTTTAATATACTCTAAATATTGAATAAAGTTAACGTAATACCGGTCTTTCTTATTTTCATAAATAATTCGAGCAATAACATACAGCATGCGCATAACTGCATGCAACAAAGAAAAATAAAAAACGAACGTCACGGGGATATTTTTTATGAAATCGTGACAATCTATGAATTTCTAACGGTTCCTTCTTTATATCTGGACATCGCATTCGATACGGTCGATTTCATCGATGCATTCGAGATTCCACCTGTTTGAACAAGATGCGGGGACGCGTATAAAATGTATGCCTTGCACTAATAATTTGAACGACGAACGCAAACAGAATCTAATATCTTCATAAGTACTTTGAAATTCTAAGCCAAACATTTTCCGAGATTCTTGTTAATAACAAACATAACTTTACTGCAAACTAAAATTGTTTTTAGATATTTCTTGTGATAATATAAATCACGTTCTCCATTAAAATAATACAAACACTGAAGATATTTTTGAATATAAATATTTTTACTGGTAATTTGCACCTTCGCAGATGAGATAAAACATCATGTATGTTGTGATGTTTTAAACAACCTTGAATTAATTAGCACTTAAGATCCGCTAAAAATTAAGATTTTTAGAGGTCGACGTATCCAATTTTGACCTAAATATTTATTATTTTATACTTAACAACTTTCTTTTTTTTCTTATGAGTTAGTTAAAGCTTTTTAATGTTTATCGGAAGCAACCGGAAATATCATTTAGATCTTACGAGGAACACTTAACCGTTTCGACTTTTATGAAAGCAGCCATGCTTGAAAATGCCGACAACACTTGCGTATGGCACATTTACCGCTAGACGAAATATTATGAATTTTCTACGCGATCTCGTCCGACAAGTCGAGCAAAGTCGAACGTGTTATTTCCATCTCGACACTTTGAAAATTCCTTCTTATCCATGCATTCCGTGCCGCCGGTGGTACCGTTAACAGGATTACTGTACACGTCTATATTTATAGCATATATATATTATTCAGCGATAAGTCGCGTGCCACCTGTCTCGCTTCGCTACGAATGTATACCAGATGAAAATAAAGGACATTAAGAAATTATACCGCTTACAAAAAATAAGAAAAATTGCCGTGTGCACGCGTTTATCGAAAAACGTATTATATGAGAAAATATCATTACAATATATGTTTCGTTATGCAATTGTAATGACAAATTGAGAAATTGGTAAAATTTTATATTTTAAATTATCTTTTAAATCAAGATTTAAAAACATGTTTAATCATTGAGAAACAGTCAATAGATAAAAAATAATATTAAGACTAATGATCCTCGTTACAGAATGACTATTATTTATCGCCAAGATCACCTTGGTCCAGGGCATCAGTAGCAAGAAGAAATGGTAGTACATGGAGGTTTGGCAGTGCCATGTTAATTATATCAGCTATGTTAGTCTTGGTCGTAGTTCTGGCAATTGCTGGATTAGCTCTATGGATGGGTGGTACGTTGAATGTTGAATTTATCATCCATTAAGTTGTTTAATTAAACTTTATGTAAAAGTTTCGTGTATGTAAAAAAATTACAAAAGTAGAAAAATAAATTTAGAAATTTCTTCAAAAAAATGTTTACTTTTTTTCAATTGAATTCAAAGTAAATCAAATAATAAATAAATAATAAATTAAAACTAATTATTATTAATTAAATTTTTCAGCTTTTCGAACAGATTCTAAAAATGGTGAGTTTTCTATATTCGAACAACACACATAATAATAAATAGCGAAATACCTTCACGTTTCAACCTTACGTTTCTCGGTTACAGCTATCATCGGATTTTCATGTAGCATCAGAATAGTAAGAGGCGAAAGGTATAATCCCATGTTAAAACTTAACACAAGCATGGTTTTTCGAGAAAAAGAACGAAAATTCAAAAATATTGTAAGCAAAATGTATATTTCAAAATTTCTACTACGTGTGTAAGGAGGAAAATCTCTTAAAAATTTATTATATTGTTATTTCCAGTTTGAGCTTCTATTTAGGAGAAGCGTGCTCGGTTTATCTTACAAACAAACCATGATAGACAAGTTTGAGAATGGGACTTTGAAAGTTTTCTTCAGATTATATCTCGATCGAAGGAAGATACCACGGTCAATCGTAAATGTCGAAGACACCATCCAAGACATTATTGCCAAGGAAACATACTCTACATCATCATTATTCAAAGATATGGAGTTAGATCTCACGTCCACATCAGTGAAAAGTGATTAGCGATAAGTTCAATGAATCTTTAGGCAAAACTGTACAAAAGCATTAAAATCTTCATTCTAGATTCCCGTATTTCTGCTACTTGTTTTCTCGCGTTGATCGTTCAAAGTTTTTCTCATCTATTCTTTATTTTCATTTCATTTCTCGTTTTATTTAAATTATTCTTGTTTTCGTTATTATATTAAACTTTTCTTTATTTCTGTTTTTTCTTCCACAAACATGTTTCACTCATTCCTCCTCTTATGCATTATATTTTGCACAACGTAATTCACTAACTCTTATATCTATTAACTTCTTAACAAAAATTCATTTAGCTACAAATATTGCATTTCATGTATTCACAATTCAAATCAGAAATCGAAACTGTCTAAATAAAAATTGCTTATTTTATACTTCAAGCATTTGTCTGTTCTTCTTTAAATAAAGTCAGTTTTGAGTACTCATCTTTGTGAAAATTCCAGGAATAAATCAAGAAAATATCGTGAACCAGAAACAAGGGCAGCAGAAACATACTATGATTACTAAAAATGGTTTATTACGACCAAATAGAAATAGCAGCTTGATTATGAGTTCAAAATCAAAAACAAAACCAACCAAGACCGACAGCGAGTCGAATATAGACTTCAACAACATTCCAACTATCCAGGGTACTTACAGAGCAACGAAAGTTAATATTACCGCAGAAAATTCAACTAAAGGAATATTCGAGCCAATAATAGATAGCAAAGGATTAGCCACTACTAGGAGAACGCCATTGCAAAAACACACCACGACATCAGAAAAAGTACTCAATCGCGTAGAATCTTCCCCAACTGACGAACCTTCGACATTGTTCACAAAATCCACAGCTATGGTCAATAAGGATAAATTGAACGAAAAAGAGGAGAATGAAATGAAAACTACGTCTTCAAGAACCACAACCGTTCGAAGCGATTTGGATATTTTCAAAGATTTCCTCAATCCAGATTTTGAAAATAATTCACCATGGAAACCGATCGTGCCGGGATATGTAAACACGGAATTCAAGTTGTTACCTAATGACGATGTCAGAGAAACCAATTATACAGAATCGACCACGCGGACAGTCATTTCGAAGACGAGTGATTTCCGCGATAATGTAAAAATGCCTAATGATGGAACTAGCACAATCTCAACGGTGCCCAAATTACCATTAGGTTCTGTCAACTTTCATGACGTATCCGAGATAAATACCTTCGATATCGACAACACCGATTTTCCGCGGGATAGAATCGATCCAGGTCTAACTAAACCAAACAATCATGAGAAATTGGACATTGAAGTCGCCGGACAGCTACCTTCGGAAATGTACAGTGTTAAATTAAAAGCTTCATCATATGATGGCAATGAAAGAGTAACTTCCAACTCTGAGAGCTCGATGACTCGCGAAGTCTCCGAAAATATTTCAATAAAAAATAAACCCTTTCAAGAAAAACATAAAGATTCAAACGCTCAAAACACAGAAGCAAAGTTTGATAATTCGGCATCGTCGATGGAGCCTGATGATGTATTCGGGTCACACAGTGATAAGAAAATTATGAACGACTCGTTCACGAGCGGTGTTGGCGTAGCCGAACCTGTACTAGACACGGAAATCGAATTGGAAGCGAAGAATCGGTACAGAGGAAGCAGTATTTTGGCGCCGACCACAGATGAAGATATGTTGCGGAATAGGAAGGTTAATATTAATCAGCAACCGATTTACACGAGTTACAATACTCCTGATTTAAATGGTGGTAGTCTTGGATCCAGCTTGATTGAGAATCCAGCAACAACAAAACCTTTTAGACACACGATACCCGTCGACAAAATCACATCCGTTGTAAATTATAGTATCAACGTTCCTTTTGATAACTTGGATGCTCCATCTCTTTCATTAATAGACACGTCTATTGATGAAAAATTGTTCCAAGACAAAGTTCTGACGCCATTACCACCAAAGAGAATCGTCGAAGTGGAAACTTCTGTCGTGGAGCACGATGATACGATGATCCAGTTACAAAGTGAACAAATTACATCAACAGAGCCAAATATCGTAAAAGATGACAATAAATCGTACTTTAGCACAACGGAAAGTTACTCAGAGCCAAAATTGATTGCCAAAGATTCGAGCGGTAAGAGAGGCGTATCGAGAAATTCAACCTTCGTCGAAATCGATACTGTCAAGCATACGCCTGGCGAATCGGAAGAAAACTGGGAGTCACGCGCGGACGAAGTTACAGCCAACAATGACGAATTACAAAGAAAGAAGGTTTATAACGAGACTTTGAAAGCCTATGTAGTAGAAAATCTCGTGACGTTGGCGCCTGTCAAGAGCAACACGGGTATTGGTAGGCCGGTGCGACCGAGACCAAAGATCGACTCTCCTGATACGGCTCTTTTGGAGCAATTATTCGGAGTGCACGATTACACGCACGACAGAGACACAACGGATACCGAATCCACATCTGAAGCTTCCTTCTCTTACAAGATCCAGAACTCTACAAAGTCCGATGAGAAGAACTCAAATCATAAAAGCACCATAGTGGAACAGATAGTCGAAGTCGTGACCTCCATCAGCACCAGAGTGTCGTCCAACATTAAAAGCGATCCAGTCATCTTAAAATTTATCGTCACCAATTCCACCACTAATCCAATTGTTCATTCGGAGAAGACTTCGACGTCAAACGACGAAGCAGATAAATCATCCGAATCGTTGATCCAGAAACGGCCACTTTTATCAGCGGCGAACTTAAGGACGATACAGACGTCGGACAGAAAAATGTCACTCGAAGAGAACAGAATTCTGTTGGAGAAGCTCAAGCAACTCGCGCAAATCAAAACGAATAACGATCCCGTACAAATCATTAGGAACAATTCAAACTTGAGCGAGATGTTGCAATCTCAAGATCACGCGCCGTTGTTAGATATCGAAGAGCTGAAGAAAATCGCCGATGTTGTGACTGGAAACGAGACACTAAAGAACACGAGTTCGGAATTTACATTGAGTCGGGACGGGGTGGAAATATTTACTAAAGTACTAAATAAGGAAGAGGATCAGACATACGAGACACATACAGTATCAATGATCGAAAAACTCAGCAAGACTAATGGTAATTATGCAAGCACAACGCGTTCAAACACATATAAGCGAGTGGAAAAGTATTAGTTTGCAGAGCTTGGATAGCTTCTGTAGTTTCTTCATTACAGTTATATTGAATTACACTAAAAATTAAATTTTTTTCTTATGCTGCATAAATTTTTTCACGTACCATTATATTTGATGATATAAATTCGTAAAATATATTTTTTCTTTTTTTCATTCCTATATTAATAAGTGCTTGGATATTTGTATGAATCTTACTTCAATAAAAGTAGACCTTGTGACAGTTGATAAAACTTTACGACTATTTATATTAATTCATAAATTAAAAAAGAAATCCATAAACTGAAAATTCAGTGTATTTCACCAATCCGTCGAAATTATGATAATAGCATTTTCAAAAAAATTTATGTATTTCAATATATTATCTACTTATAACAAACGTACCGTATTTTCGCAGATAGTTGCGTTGGTTTTCTGTGCGGAGATGGAAAATGCTTAGATTCCAGCGCGATTTGTAACATGTTGGTAGAATGTCCAGGCGCGGAGGACGAGGCTAATTGCACGTGCGCTGATTTTCTCAAAACACAGCTATTATACCAGAAGATCTGCGACGGTATCGCCGATTGTTGGGATTATTCGGACGAGAGTAATTGCGGTAAAATTATTTAATTCAGATTGTCGCGATAACTCGTAAAACTTAAAATAAGTTTCCATTAGCTCCAATTAACTTTCAAGGATCACCTAAAAATCTTCTCACGTCTCATCTCACGTCTCATTTCTTATTCGTCTAATTTTATTTTACAGATTGGTGCGAGAAAGGTCAATTCGTATGCGGTAATAGCAAATCCTGCGTTGATATGGATAAGGTATGTAACGGTTTTAGCGATTGTCCCGGCGGCGAAGATGAAAAGCAATGTACCGCTCTAATAGATGACGAGGAAAACATAGCTGAATCACGAATTGATCTTGTCTTGACGAAAAACTCATCAAAAAATCATTCCGAGACGATCAAACGTCTCGATCAAGTAATCGAGAGAGACAGTGAATCTTCTGTTACAGAGAGAGACACAACCACTCTATATATCCTCCCTGATAATTTACAATCTGAAAGATTAATAAACGATAAGAATGGCCTATCTTCGAAGTTAATCAATCAAGAATTGGCTCGGAATAGAGATGTGGAGGAGAGTAACATCGAAGTTGCTGTTTCCAGTAGAGAAACATCTTCGAACGTTTTAAGGAACGGTTTGATTTCGGGGAATAATTTGCATGCCAAAGATAACAGAACTTTTCCAGTAGCAAAAGTTTATAACAATAACGAGATCGATAATTATAACAATAAAGGAATACTAAGCATACGTAAAAATGGTAAATGGGGAAAACTTTGTTTTATCAATACAAATAGTCTCACACAAGAGCAGTCCGCGCGTCAAGTTACGTGGTCCATCGAGGATCTTGCCAAGGCTGCGTGCAAGGCCATTACGTATCAGTAAGTGACATCACCGTTAAAATCTCGATTAACAGAAATTTCTTTACAAAGTCATTTCTATAACAAAGTCAAATGTCTATACATTTTTTTCTATAACAAAGTTTTTTATACTGAAAGCCCTTTATTTGCAGAGATTACGAAATGGTGGAAAAAGTGTTGGATCAAAACCCGCCATCGAATCAATTTTACTACACTTTGTCGTACGATAAATCAGATCTTTCGGATAGAACAGCTTTGTCTTTCAAATCGTCTCAGTGCCCGGGCGGCGAGGTTCTTAAAATTAGATGCAAAAATTTCGAGTGCGGAATAAGAACTCAGGTGGCATCGACCGCGAGGTATGTCTTCATAAAACATTGCTGCACTAATTCCGTCGCGCATAAAGCTCGGAATTGAATTTTAAAGCAAATTATTCTCTTTTTGTCACTTCAGGATTGTCGGCGGTGCTAGCAGTTCCGTGGGCAACTGGCCCTGGCAAATAGCTTTATACAAGGATGGAAATTATCAATGCGGTGGTGCTTTAATCAATAATAGATGGGTTATCAGTGCTGGGCACTGCTTTTATCAGTAAGTTGAAAGAAAATTTTTTGTATATAGCTTCAATAGAAGGTTTTAATTAAAAGTACTGCTTTATAGCGCAGAGAATAACTATTGGGTTGCAAGAATCGGTGCAACTCGTAGAGGAAGTTTCCGAAGCCCACACGAGCAACTCTTACGGGTGGATTATATATCGCTACATCCGGATTATGTGCATCACGTATTCCTCAATGATATAGCTGTAATAAGACTCGAACGAGCGGTTAGCTTTAGCGATTATATTCGACCAGTATGCCTCCCGAAAGCACCGGTCCTCACTGGAACTGTATGCGTGGTCACTGGATGGGGTCAGTTATATGAAATCGGCAGAGTGTTTCGTAAGTAGGATATCTTGGCAAAGGTGATCGTAATCTTACATTAAAAGGTTTCGTATGATATATCTTGTTACTTATATTTAACAGCTGATACATTGCAAGAAGTACAAATTCCGGTCATGTCGACAGAAGATTGTCGACGAAAGACTCTATTCTTGCCGCTATACAGGATTACAAATGGAATGCTATGCGCAGGATTGGAGAACGGTGGCAAAGACGCCTGTCTCGGAGACAGTGGTGGTCCTTTGGTATGCTTATCACCGTTTGAAAATCGTTATGTACTACAAGGTATGAAATTGAATGTTTAATAAATAAATTTCTCTGTCCCTTGATCTAAATATCTTCTTTTAACCAGGAATTACTTCAAATGGCTACGGATGCGGAAGGCGAGAACGACCGGGCGTCTATACAAAAATTTATTCTTACATGTCATATATCGATTATGTCATCGCACAGACAGATATCCAACCTTCTGCAGTAGAGTTCTGCAAAGGCCACAGATGTCCTCTCGGAGAGTGTTTACCCAAATCACGTGTCTGCAATGGATTTCTGGAATGTTCCGACGGCAGCGACGAACGAGATTGTTCCACAATCTCGCGATAATACAAGACTGATATGTCAATATGATAATGTAAACGCGATTTATATTTATATAAGTAAACATTAGCGCAGTCCAATGAATAGATATGGTCTCATTGAGGGAAAACTAACGCAACTGTATATAAGTTATACGTAAAGATACATCGCATCAACGTCTTATTAAAGGCAGTACATATAAGTGTGTATTTTTACTTTCTCAAGTCATACAAACAATTTTATGGTATTAATTATCTTTCTATATACAAAGATGTGGTAATATCAATCTGTAGATAATGCGAGTTTGATATTAATTCACGTAAGTATCTACAACGTGCAATTAACAATTAAAATTTGCTTGAAAACAATGGATCATAAACAGCACCGTTTAAGATGTAAAAGCGAATTACAAAAGGAAATGTGATAGAACATTCCACGTTCTTTTATAGCATAGAAATAGAATTAAAGTACATTAAGCAGCAAAACTCAATAGACTGTTGCAAAATTTTAGAGATTCTATAGTTATATCTTCAAAAGAAGGATTCTTTTACTTCTAGACTAATTGTATATATATCGAGAAAAAGTAGAAAAAAAACTTTGCGATTATTTATTTAGAACGTTGCAAATCTCTCTTAATGTCGTGTTATTAATGGTCAGTATATAGATCTCTCTATATAGATAATGATGTTCAGGCAGATTGAAATTAACTTGATTTGTATTAATTCTGTTTTTAGACAAATGTTTTAAATTATGCTATTGGTAAGATCTGATCAAATAAAAAGTCTAGTCTATAATGTAAACAGACACGACTTATCTTCACAGTAATGTGTACATATATTACGAAATTATTATAAAATTTATAATTAATGTGAAGTTTACAAGAAAAAATGGCAGCAAATATATTCTTTTTGTAAAATTCATGTTCTTTTCATTGTCTCCAATTTTTAGTTGGACAATTAGAAGGTAATATAACAATACAAAGAATGATATACAACTTCACTTTATTAGTCAGATTTTCATCACCAAAAATCATTTCCACGAAAAATATTAAATATATCGTACATATTAACGTTTAAATAAAAGCTTTTGTAAATAATTTTACAATACTGTTATCAAATTAAAAATAGATGAAATAATTATGTATTTTATTACAAATTGTGCGATATGAACAAACAAATAATTGCTAATGATGTCGCTGTTGTTCATTACAAATGTCATTTAGTACTTTACTTAGGTAATTTTATCTTACTCAAGTAATATTAGTATTAGCGTACTCTCGTTAAATGTCACACTGTTAGATTTCTATTTCAATTCTCGATTATTGATATCTCATTTGTAAATATTGTATAATACTGAACTCGACAGAGTAAAAGTGTAGAGGCAAAATATATCGAACTATTGATGATGGCATCCGACACCATTTAGGAGTAATGCTCAGAGGCCTAGTATATCTGGTTCCTGATAGCTGTACATATACAATGTTCATTCCATCCGGCATACCAGAAAGTTCTGTGCAGCGACAGGTTTGAGCAAAACTTCTCGTACGATAAAAAATGGTGTAAATGTATAAAAGAGCGACTCGAAGACGATAAAATTTTTGTTCATATTATGTTTAACATCATTCGTTATGTCTTCTCACATTTTTGATCTTAAAATATATAAATATATAATACCTATCCACAGAAAAAGAAATCCCGTAATGATCCATAAACTCCGCTAGATATATTACAACCATTAAAGGAGTTCAGCATTTTGCAAAAGTAGATTATCTTGATTCAAGATATTCAATGATTCAATACAATTAAATATGTTAGCCTGATAATATAAGGATCTTCAAACAGCAGAAAATTTCTCAAACAATTTAACGATACGTTGTTACTGTTAATTATCGAATGCATCTCGTCGATGTGTACAACTTATTATGTTCAGGAACATAGTGATATATATATATATGTATATGTATATATGATCGAAGCCAATCCATTAGACATAAGCGAGATATACAATACTAAATCTGATATTTTCTTTAATTCTGCACATTATTTGCAGAAGATAATAAATAATATTATTAATAAATTGATAATATCTTTGACGATCATACCTTTAATTATATTGTTAAGAAGATGCATAGGCTATGCCTAATAATGAGAAATAAATTCCTCGTTTTTAACCAAGAGAATCAACAGCCATGGTATTAAGACCGTTCTTGCTAATAGTAGTCTTAAATTGCTCCGGTACTGGATATTCGCTCTGCAATGTAATATATTCACGTAGAATTATAAAAATTACAAAATTGCATCTATAAATTGTAGGCTAACTTACATAATCTCCATTGGCTTTGGGTACCATGACGTTCATTTCGCTAGATTTGCTGGTGATAAGTTCAACACCCAGGGAATCTGTACTTAAATACATTTGACAACCGTCCGTTTTGTCGATAGAAATTGTAGGTACCTTTCCAAGAACCTGTAATAAATATATAAAAAAGATATGATTATTAATATATATTATTAAGATATCAGGAGACACAATGTCTCGTATTATTAACCATAGTGGAAGTATATTATTAATATCACAATGTTATGGTACACTAACATTAGGCTAAAACTCGATTCAGTACTCGCAGTAACTGGCAATATATTCAGAGTGCATTTCGATAACAATTGCCAGTGCATAAGTGCTCGGCTTTGCAAACCATGCCGAACATGTATCGGTAGTAGAAGATATAGGAGCCTGACAGTTTTTCCAATTTCACACGCATAATTTCATTTGCATTAAAATATTATTTCAACAAGCATTGCGTATATAAAAATGCCGTGGAAAGTTGGTAAGAACATTTTTTCTTATTTTTCTTATTTTTCTTATTTTTAACGCTATGCTAAATAAAACACAAATAGTGTACATCGAAAAAATTTATTTATTTTTCAAAAAATTCGAACGAATGGAAATGTTTTAGGTGGAAATTTCGAAACTGTGGCGGTAACATGTGAGACAAATTGGAAAGACTGTGTAATCGCGGTGACAAATTATTTATGGAGCGAGGTTGTATCTGATGTCGTAGATTATTTAGCAAAAGAAGGAATTATATGGGTATGCAATTATGTATATACACTCCACAGATTATTAATAATCGCTTTTAAAGTTTTTGTTTTTGTTAAAGATTTATATTACAAACTAAATATTTTAAATCTACAAGTTATTTTTATTCTAGTTTCATAAAATTAAGAATTTTTTTTCTTGCTAAGTTATTATTGGGTTTAAAAAATCTTTGATTGTGTTTCATTGTCTAATATTTGAAGGTTTTAGCGATAGCCATCACTTCCACGATACTTATCCGTATAAAATATTGCAAAAATATGCACACGAAACATGCTGTGCTTAATAAACAAATACTAAATAAAGTCGGATATAAAATTCAGGATCTGGAATTAAAAATCAATGTTTTAACGTACAAAATGCAATATGGAACTTGGCCATTACCACATCAAATCTGTAATTTAAATCCGAAGCTGCGGAAGATCAGAATGACTGTATCCAACCCAGGTGACCGAAAAAATTGGCTAAAACACGTGCTGCTAAAGTACGTATAGAAGTTTAAAATATTGAATAGTTAACAAACTTTTAATGAGTCAATTATGAAAGAATACAGATTTTCATATATTTATATTTATTTCATAATAATGGTTTATTTCAGTCCTTCATCGAAGAGCAAAATATATGCTCCTTGTTCAAAAGCGCTTCGTTCATCAGAAGCAAAACTAATGAATCGTTTTGATATAAAACAAGAACATGTTCCACAACATATTAAACACAGTGAATTATCAACAGCTTGCAGTAGCATTGAAACTTTAAAATCTACTAGTGACCAATCTGTGAAGTACAAAAATTAGAAATACATTCGATTTTACATTAATTTTTCCTATTCATATAACATTAATGCAATTTTTATACAGATAAGCACAAGTCTTAGATTGCTTCAAAAATATTTTGCACTTTCTCTCGATGATGGTTCCCGATCTTAATTAGTTTTTTTTTTTACGCAAAGACATTATAAAAAACTATTAATAAAGCATTAATAGAAAAATTAAAAATAAAGAACTAAAAAAAAATATTAATAGGAAGCGCTATTAATGTTTTGTCCGGCGAAACCTTCCATCCAAAATTAAAAAACATTAATATATAACATGATATTAATTATTATATGTTTTGCTTTATCATATAGTAATAAGAATTCAGAGAAAGCGCAAAATCTTTGAGGTAACCTGTGCAATCACTGAGTTAGCTTATTTCGTTAGTGTATATTCAGCGAGGGCACATATATACCCGCAAAATGCGAGTAGGAAGAAAAATGATCTCTCTAAAAGCAAAAATTTCACGTTGCAACGCCGAAATGTGCAGCTTCTACCACTGAATTCGAACGTGATTAATCAATCTTCAAAAATGACTCCTTCCTCAATGGAAAATGATGTATATGCGACAAATGCTAAATACAACCCATGCTGGAAATTCACAGAGACTATCTATAAATGTAAATCATTTCTCAAGGAATTGCAACGTAACGATAAATATCTACGTTCATTAAATCGGCCATCAAAAATGAGCAAGGTATCTTCTTTAAAAACCGCACATACAGCAGGACAAGTAAGTTTATCAATCACCGTACTTAAATTAATAAATAATATTGTATGATAATTATACATTTATTCTAGATAGTTTTGTCGACAACGGAAGAAAGAGAAACATTCTGCGATGCTTCTGTAACAGCAAAAAAAGAAGAAATAAATGAGACGAAATGCATAAAACGGATGCAAAATAACATGATAATAGGTACTGAAGAAACATATCATCAAAATAAAGTGAACGTATCTAAAGACGTTGATGCTTTAAAGACAAACAACCGTGCACCCTCGAGAGAACTCGTCCCAGTTATTCCGATAATGCAACCAACGCAAAATATACAACCTTCTCAGGAAACTTTAATCGAAGTCAGAAAGAGACTTCAGAATTTACATAATGTGTTGCAAACATATCAAGACACGAATCAGTCCACAAAAAGACAACAATCGAATCAATCAAATCAAAGCAATGAAATAAATTCAGTTCTAACAAATCCGGTCATGAATATTTCAAGCGAATATTTCGAGCTAAATCGTTCAGAAGACAGTTTATCTTCCTTAACCGATTCATCACATACGTCGAAAACATATCGACGTTCTAGTGAAAATCTTACATTGCGAAATACTTACTCTAAAGGATTTAGTCAACATGATATACAGAGCAATCTTCCAGCATTTGTGCCAGCAGAACCGCACTTACGTTCCCGCAATGCAATATTACAGACATCGGAAAGCTACGAAAATGAATACAAAGAATGCTTGTGCGAAAATATTTTAGATCGCAATTGTAACCACGAAATGGAATCGAATCCTAAAGTCAATAAATATGCAATTAAAACAAATACTTTATTCAATACACGAGATAACATATCTAAAGCAATATCAGAAAGAATATTCTATATTTTATCATCTGAAAATAAGGAAAATCAAACTCAAAACGAGGCATCGTTAGAAGAAAGATTCGCTACTAAAAAATTCAGCAACACATTTGATAAAGAACAATATCGAGAGAATGTGACAATATCTCAAAATAGCAGTCAAAGTAAAATATCAAACAATAGCAATAGTAGGGAAAATAAATCGACAGTGTTATTGCTTCAAGAGGCTTTACATTTCAAGAATACTTTGCTGACACACTCAAGAACGAAGTGTCCGATAAGTAATGTAAAACATGGCGATATTGCGGATGAATCTTCACTGATATCAAATAATAATTTTCCTTCGATGATAATAGATATCAAAGAGGAAGAGCCAGTTGTTAGTAACTCTCATGATAAAATTAATCAACGTTACATCTGTCTAGAAATGAAACAACGACGTGACTTATGTCCTCAATATTTGAAAAAAGTAAATACGCTTACACATTGTGAAGACGAACAAGATGCAAAGAGCCAGGATTGTATTCCCGAAGCATCTTCGGAATATTTTAGCATTACGGATCTCGCGAGTCATAATAATAATAATGTCGAGATTAAGAATAACGTTTCGTTGAAACCTCCGATTTATGAAAAAGTAATCTCGATAACGATACCAGTCGATATGGATGAGAGATCGATGCAAACGAAAACTGTCCTACAAAATATTCGAACATGCGTACAAGAAAATTTAAGAGAAAATGCATCGTCCGATATCGACAACAATATAACCGATAAATGTTCGCCAACAATGTTAAAATTCGAAGATCTCATATTGGAACGTGTTAAAAATATCAGAGATTATATAGATACTTTTCTTCAAAGCCAAAATATAGCAATTTTCAAAGCACGCAAAGCACTTCAATATCAAGGTAAAAACGATATTTTTCGATGTTTAGGTGAGGCGAGTCATGTAGTAGTATATAATCGATCGATCGTACCGTCTAGCAGCAACAGCACCGATCAAATTATTGGTTCTTCAAAGAAATCATCAGACATTTTAACAAATACATGGCCGAATTACATAGAAGAATACAAACAGAAAACACTTATTACTCCTATTAAGAATAAATTCTCTATCAAGAACGATACACAACAATTAGAAATACCTACAGAATTAGAAAAAGAAGAAGTTGATTTATTTCTTCCAAAAATTCTAACATATTCTTGCAAAACTGACTCAACATGTACACACAAAATACCGGATTCGAGCACACCTCATCATGAAGAACACTCAAATACAGAAAATAATAAAACTGATAAAGGCACTATAGTTGATGTGAATGCAGATTTCTATAAATGTAAAAAGCAGACACAAGTCACTGAAAGTAAGCCATCAATAATATCATATTTTTCACTCGATGTCGCAAATGCTGATGCAAAAGTTATTCACACAGCACGCGAAGACTATCTAACGAAATCTAATTGCAATTCGATCTCCCATAGTAATTCGTATTTCACCGACGAAGAGATAATAAGTGATGTAAAAATGGACAACGTATCTTTCAAATCTACGTCGGACATGAAACATTCGCATTTAAACGTACAGAAAGAAACGAAACAAAATGTTATTAAACAACAAATATCCGTGAATGAATGTCCAGATACAAATATAGTAACGCCAAACGAATTACCATCAGAATATTCTAACTTGACGATACTTATTAACTCAAATCTTATTCTTGATAAATCAAAACGTGATTATTCAACGAATCCGAAAACAACATCTCCTTTACCGATGTTAAAGAAAAACGATTTCATTTTTGATCCCACTGCTTCTTTACTACCTTTCTCATTAAATAAAGAAAATGAAACACTAAATACAGACAGTACCTTATTACATAATTTAAAACAAAATGATGAAATATCTATAGGCATCGCAAATTTATCGCCTCGAATAGAACGTTATTCCATAAAACCATTCCAAACATATTCCCAAGTTAAAGCTAAAAGCGACATGTCTTTAATAACTAATAGACGTAAAGATTTAAAAGTTAATATATACCCAAAAAAATCACATTCATTTTTGATGCGTCATAATACGAAATACATCAGCGGTACATTACATCAGCCGTATGCAAAACTGCACAACGACAAAAATAAATGTGTAAAAAATAAATTGCGACTCATAACTCAATCAAAGTCTATTATATCACCACAAAGGGTATCCACTAAATCTTGTATACCAATTTTAAAGAATCGTTTAGAATCATCTCACAGAATGAAACATCAAAAACATTCGAGGAGTCCTCCGAGAAGTCCATTAACTATGTTGGGAGAAAAGATCTATACAAAAGTTCATGCAACAGATGAGGAAGTTATGCGAAATAACAACATTTCAATAAATAGGCATTTGCATGTAGAGAGGACTGTGTCAAATTTAACTAAATTAAATTTAGAAAAGGACATATTCAATAAAAACTCGGAAAAACTTAATACAACATACAGAGAAAACACACCAAAAAAACATTCGGGAATTGTGTCTAGTGATCAAAGTGTAAAATCCTTGGCAATCGATAAAGAGCATTCAGATAAAAGCGATATATATGGAAGTAAATCAGATATAAGCATAATGCAGCATATAAAAAAGATTGCTTCTAAAGAGATGATTGTTATTTCTATTATGGCAAATGACGATTTACGGAAAAAATATCCGGCGGATCTATTTATTTTAAACACGAAGAACATCAGTCCAACGACAGATCTGCTGATACATAAAAACAAATTGTGGACTATTACTGTTGAAAAAAAAGAAAAAGAAGTTACGGCGAAACCTTCCATTACAGATACATGTACATCAATGTCTAACTTACAATGAATGACTTGAGACGTATAACTTGTCTTATCTCTGTAAATATTTTTAATATTTTTATTTATCGAATTCTTTTATATAAGAGTGCATTTTTTCTAAATAAACGCTTTTTTTACATTTGTATGTATTAAATTATCTATAAGATAGAAAAAGCTTTTTAGAAAATTAAATTGGATATCCTAAAATTAAGTGCAGTATCGAAAAGGAAAACGATTTCTCGTATATAATAAAAAAGAACAAAATTTCTTATTATATCAACATCTAGCAATTAGTTATCTATCTTTTATGTATCAATGTATTTTCTATAACTAAAAAAGTACAGTCTTATTTAATATCAAAAGCTTAATATACATGCTAATAACAAAAGGAGCTATTGTGTAGCCATACATACCTGCATTTGTACGCTTTGACAATTAACAAATTCGATACTGGATACCAAGGAATCAAATACAACGGATGATTTGCGACAGGAATCCATAACAACGGAATTCACTTTGCCTTTGACAGTAAGTGTGCTATCTTGGCACCGAAACATATAAACCACATTATTCATCTCTACGTTATCAATTACTAAATTCTCACCCTTATGATATTCCTGTGAAAAATATAATATTTTTAATATATATAATAATAATATAATACGTATAATGAAACGCATTATTTAATATTTTTATTATTTCTTTGCGAAATATCATACCACGAGCCATTTTTTGCCATCTCTAGTAAATACAGGTGGCTTGTCAATAGGTGCGCTTGCTGGCAACACAGTTTTCATAGGTATCGCGTTGACCGTCGGTGCTTTAAATGGTGCCGGGCCAGATCTCAAACCAGGATTTTTATGTGTTTGCATATCGGAGGTGACTTTTTTCAAACCTACAATATACATATTATATATTGCATATAATATATTCTCATACAGAGATTATAGGCTAGTATTCATAGTCGGTTCTTATTTCGAG